TTTTAATTATTTTGGAACAATCTCAACTTTGGGGCTGTTTACTTTCTTCAATCCCAATTACCGGTTACCTGTTGAAAAGGTTAATTTTTTTTTTAATAAATGCCACGTGTCAAGACTAATAAGCTAAAAATATTTGAAAAAAAAAATTAATTTTTTTTCAAAAAACCACCCCCTCCCCTTCTCTAACCACCTCAGCCCCATCGCCCAACGGAACCCCGGCCACCTCAATCCCCTCCTGCATCGGAAAACCCACAACCCTCCTCCTGCAGGCAAGCCACCCTTCCTCATGTCCCGTCCCGTCCTATCACCAATCCCCCTTCCTCTTTGAACCACCACCCTCAAATTTCCCCTGAAACCTTGTCGCCTTCCTCAACACACTCGCCAGAGAATGCTTAACACCGTAGACGCTGAACAACACCCACCACAATTTGGCCCCTAACTCAACGAACCTTCCGTCTTCTGATCTTCTCCAAGCGTTACATATTGTTGCCGCCTGACGAAGCTTCTTCCACCGCTAAATCCAATGACGTTGCCGCTTCCTCCGCTCCTGCTTCTTCTGCTATCGCTTCTGCCATAGATGAAGGCATCGAAATCTTGGTTTACTCTAAGGAGATCACCAAACGGAAGGGGAAGCGGAACGGGCGGCGGTTTTCAAGGTAAATTTAGGGTGGTACGGTGACGCCAGGGGTAGAAATAATGTTATTACTTGGGTGTACGGTACATCCACGGTTATAACTGTCATATTACAATTAGTTTTCTTTGCACGTGATATCTAGAGGTTTCATTCTTATATAATTTTTCTATTCTTCTTTCTCTCTCTTCCTGCATGTCTTCAAATTTTTCATCTATATTTTTGATATTTTGCTTTGGATTTGTTTATTGTCTTCGATTTTCGATTTTTTGCTTCAGATTTGTCTACATTATTCAACAATGTTGGAATATATGTAAATTTTCTCTCTTTTTTAATGTATTCAACAATGGTGGAATCGAGGTGAATTTTATTTTATGTCTTTTGCTCATAATATTTTGCTCAATTTTTTCTCAATTTCTTCCTGCCTCTTTCTTTCACCACTATACAGTTCATTTTTATGGTTTTTTTTTTTTTATCCAAAACAAAGCTAACCTTTGTGAAGGTGATAACAATGGAGGCATCATCTAGATAGTTTGGCTTCGATTTTTTCTTTTATGGTTTCATATTCATTAGCAAATTTAAGTTAGAATTGCAAATTGGCTTTAAACAACTATTTATAAGCCGTTTAATCAACAAATAAGGAAATTTTTTTGCTCATTTCTTAAATGGGTAAATAATTATTGCTCTTTTATTAAACGAGCAAAAATTATTTGCTCATTTGTTAATTAAATGAGCAAAATATTATTTGAATTATCATCGTCATCATCAATGGTATTGCGATTAGCTCTACGAAACTTCAAGAACCATCATCGTCTTCCTTTTCTTTGTAATTTGATTCAACATCATTATCAATAAATTTAATTTGCTGCAATCACATTTATTAAAATTCAATAAACAAAGATTTAAGACATTAAAATGAAAATTTACGATCTGGGGCTATTTTGATTTCTGAAAAAAAAAATGTATAAGTTGCTAAGAACACTTAAATTGAGGGGTGAGTTGAATAAGTTCTACTCATCTTGAAATTTGTGATTTGGTTTGAAGGTGGAGTTAAATGTGAAGAATTGTTTGCATAATTAGCGTTTTAATGGAGGAAATGTTGGAATTTAAGTGAATATTGAGGATTTTTGAGAGGTGGAACTGTGTGTGTGCAGATGAACGGAGGAGATGAGTCGGAGATGGGGAGAAGGTAAGAGTATTTGATTTTGGGCTTGAATTTCCATAATTGAAGGATAAAGAGTGGTGAGGGGAGGAGGAAGGTGGAGCCAAAGTCAAAGGGTGGTGAGAGGAGGAGGAAGATGATTGAGAGATTACGAAAATACCCCCGGGAGCACCTTCCTTAAGGTACTCCCGGGAGTATATAACAGGAGCTGCGCCAAGGGTGGGGGAGGCGAAGCGTGCCGGTGAGAGAATTTTTTTTTTAATTTTTTGGACCAATCAGGACTTGACACGTGTCAAGTAATCTGATATAATAGGTCATTGACTTTTGTTAACTGGTTTGGGATTGAAGAAAGTAAACAGCCCCCAAAGTTGAGATTATTCTAGAATAATCAAAAGTTGGGATTATTAAAAGAAAATGGAGCAAAGTTGGGATTATTATTTACTATATTTCCATTAAATAATTCATATACAAAAATTAGATTAAATGTGTTTTATTAGTTTAATTAATTGTTGTAAAAATATAATAATAATATATAAAAAAAATAAAAAATAAATTAAAAAATAAAAAAAACAAAACCCTAATGTGGATGAGATCTACTGGCGCCTCTAATAGGCAACCATACCATGTAATAGCCCTAACCACATATACATTTGAAATAAAAAATTAAAACTTCCCAAATCGACGGCGTCGAAGGTTCATCGTCCTTACCAAAGTGACTCTGATATAACCGCGGTCCATCGTTGGACCATGTAAGTGGCCATAAAGTTCATTGTTGGTGGTCGGCCGTTGTGGAATGGGTGGTGAAGCTAGTGGACATGGTGGGGCTTGTGGTCAAGATGGAGCCGTGGTGGTGTGGGTGGTGATGCCTTGGATGGTCAAAGTTAGTGGTGTGAGGTCAAGTTTTGGCAGTTATGTCATTGTTAGTAATGATGGGGGCGTAGAAGTCATTTAATACCGTGGCATGAGTATTTTCAATGTGGCAAATAGTAATTCACAAGATAAATCACAAAAAGAAGCTACTCCCTCCGTTCCTAAATATAATTCCCGCTTGACTAATTTTACGGTAATTAAGGAAAGGGAGGAGGAAATACTAAAATGATATGGAAAACCCAAATACTAAATTATTTATAAAAAAGAAGAGAGAAAAAGGTACTTTTTTTTACAGCTATTTTCAATGACAAAAAAGAATAAAGTACAAATAAGAAGTACTGATGCACAAAAAATAACAATAAAATTAGATGATACTTTTGGCAATTCACATAATAGAGACAAAAAAAAAAAAAAAAAAAAAAAAAAAGAGGGTTCATTAGTAGTATTCAAGGGACCAGAAATGTTAAAAAAGGAAATGTAAACTACATTTAGGACCACTAAATATGGTAATGGAAACTATATTTAGGGATGGAGGGAGTATTATAAAGTGTGCACACACGTGACATTTAATTAGTCCGAAGTATTGAGGATGTAATTACTCATTTACTCAGGTATATATTATATATAATTAAATTAAACTGGATTCTAATCTAAAACACACATAAAAGGTACGCTATTAGCCATTGACTAATACAATCTAAATGTAATATCATAAGAGTATAAAAAGGAGTTAGTAAGATTACTATAAAGCTTTCCTATCTTTATATAACGTTACGATGCCTTGAATTTTAAAATTTTTTATTAATATGGTCCTCCTAGGAATCTCCTCTCACGTGATGAAGTGCATTAAGTTTCCGGCCGCGGTTACAAACAAGACCGATTCTTTGATCACTAGGTTTTTTTGGGCGACTAATGGAAATTGTGGTATTCATTGGGTTTCAAGGAACAATTTGCAAAAACCAAAAAGGATCAGAGCAGTTTGGGAATTCGAGCTTCGAGTTTGCTAAATGACACTTCGTTGTTTAAACAAGTATTGCAAATCAACTAGCCTCGTTTTTAATATGTTTTACATTATTAAATACCGTTTTATCAAATAATGATTACACATTTATAAATCGAATTTAGTTCCGCGAAATTTGGGGGCTCACATCGTGCTCTACCTCTCATTCAACAATTTTTTTTTTTTTTTTTTAACCATACCTAATTTGTCATTAAAATAACAATTTGTATACACACTATCACTTATCTAATACTAAAACTAAAACTATGTGCTAGAAGAATAGTGAACACTAAATTGGGATAGAGAGAGATTCGTAACTAATATAAGTACTACCTCCGTTTACTATTATTTGCAACAATCGTATCGTTTACTGAGGCCAATGCAAAACTTTTAAAGCATGGTTATTGAAATATAAGGGCATGTAATTAAGTATTAAAAAAACAAAACAAAACAAAACAAAACAAAAACCAGCACCACCACCAAAACCCAAAACCAGAACCACCACCAACTCCACCGACAACCATCAGAACCACCAAACCCGTCGACACTCAGAACCCAAAACACCACCAAAACCACCGAAACCCAACCACCAACCAAGCCTTCACCACCGAAACCCAACCACTAAACCAACAAACCACCCACGAACCGGATTTGAAACCCATCCCCACGAAACTCACGCCACCCCCACGATCCAAAACCACTACCTTTCGAACCCAAAACCACCACCGACGCCACCCTAAACCACCCACCTTTTGAACCCGAAACCACCTAACCCACCACCCACAAACCCAAATCCGAAACCCACGAAACCAACACCATTTCTCCAGATCTGAAATTGAGTGTTTCTTTTTCAATTCATGAAAAGTGTTTGAAGGAGGAGAGAGAAAGTTAATGTTGAAGAGGATGAAGATGGAGAAAATAGATTATGAGGAAAGAGGAAGAAGATGATGAAGGAGGAGTGAGAAAGATAATGGGGAAGATGAAGAGATGATGAAGGATTGATGAATATTGTTGAAATTAGGTGGCTGTTGGGGGTGCACATCATCGAGTACTCACAATGAGGATCAGGCAGGATACCTAGATTGATGATTCTTGAAAGATAAAAATAAGTTTAATTGAATTAGATTAGTTTTTAATCAATTATGTTTAAGTATGTAATTGATGTTATAAAGTTTTAAGTAAGGGTGTTTTTGTAATTTCAGTTTAAAAAAATTACTAAAAATAAAAAGATTTTGGAATGTTGCAAATAATAGGTAGCACCCCTTTTGGGTAAATGTTGCAAATAATAGTAAACGGAGGTAGTATATAACACAATGATAGCTATACACGTAAATAAATTAATAAATAAACCAAAATACTTTATTCCAGAGAAAGCAAAACTATATCACAAATATAAAGTTCAATACAAAATAAATTGCAACCCAGCATGCCAGAATTGGAGGTGTGAAATGTAGTAGAGAACAAAGGAAAGGTCCCTCAACAAGCTAAACAAAGCATGGTCAGGAGCAAGGAAGAAACACCCACTCGCGCAGATCTGTGTGATGCATATAAACCATACAGTCATACAGATGCGTGTTTTACAGTTTCTTGTACAAATCACTGCACCGAGCATTACAAGTTCTTTCCAGAATACAAGGATACGCCACTTTACAATTTCTAATACAGCAAGCTCTCTTTGCTTTTCTGGCAGATTAACTCTAATACATACTTGCAAACTAAATCTTCTCCTTGCTTTTCTAGCAGATTACCACTAATCATACATGCAAACTAAATCCTCATTTATATGTTATTCACTTGAGCAATGAGTGCAACATTGCAGATATCAAAGGGAAGCAGTAAATGCGTGGCATAACCACTAGAAACCAGAATTCATCATATACAACTACCTTGTCTTCGCCAAACCAACGAAACACCTACAGAAGCCTACATGTTATAACCACTCTAATGCACGGTAATCTAGATGTTTCACCTTCTTCACAACCATAGCTTCAAGACAGCAACATAATAGGCAGGTCATGCCCTTTCTGCTACCTCAAGACACTCTAAGCATAAGCCCTAACATTGCCTTATTCGTTTGAATAGTTACAATATTCAATAAAAAAGAGCGAATCATAATCATTGTCGGTGTCCTTCTGGCAAGGCAACCACATTATGAAATGGTACTGTCCTTTTTGGCATGGATCCATCTTCACTTTCATCATCATCAAACTCAAGGAGATAACTGCACAAAAACAGTTTATTTGCAATTAAAATGAGTCATCTATGAGATGTCAGATACACAAATCAAATATAATTATTTTTTCCTGAGCAAACTAATTAACACTCCTATATCAGTGTATTCCTCAATGATCAGACTCATATAAAATTACAAATTGTTTCACATTCTAGCTACCCAGAGAAATAAGATTTCCATTTGAAATTTGTGGTAACAAAATCGAAGCAGCAAATTATTCTCCTACTCCGCCTAAGACAAACCCCTCCCTAAACCTAAAATACAAAAATATAACAAATAACGCAGCAGGGGTAAAACAATTCCATAGTTTCTTGTCCTTTTTAGTTTCTTGTAGCAAAACATAGAATTCTGCAAATTCAATCTATTCAATCAATCAATCAAATTCAATCTATTCACCAAATAAAAATTTAAAAACTTGAAGAGGCAAGATAGATTACTCACTCATCGGTCTTCCTCTGGAAAAGGTAATATGGACCGCAATAACACCACACCAAGAAACAGTAATATGAAGCCAATCTCTCAGTCAGATACATTCCATGATATTTAGCTTCTTAGATTAGATTATTAAGAAGCTGCAGTTTTTTGTACAGGATATAAAGAAACCAAGATAATGAATGATTTGATATACCTTGCGATTTGGATTCACTACTGTTGCTTTGTACAATGCTGTTGTACCAGGATACACAGCCAAAACTGCTCTGCCAGGAGGGAAGTCCAGAGCAGTAGAAGGATCATTCCGTTTGGGGAAAGGTATGATATGTGATGCAGGAAGCTTATATTTTCTATACAAGGGAAAAGCAATTTTATTTAAATATGCAAAACAAGCAATTGACCAAAATGATAAGACACATTAAGTATCAATCAAATATATACCAAAAGTAAAACATGCAATCTAAGCAGGGACGTAAAAGAGGAAGCAATTAGCTCACTGCAAACATACAAGGAAAAAGAAAGCAGTTGCCGTAAATCCAGGCCTGGAAACTATGATACTTCAGAATATGTTCTCACTAAATCAAACTTCAAAAAGTGAAACAGTACGTAAACCCCCCCCCCCTCCACCCAAATTAGAAATAAGTCGTTTTCAGTGTCCACAAATGCAATGTGTAAAGAAGATTATATCAACCTCAGCCATGCGTTATAAAATCCAGGCCTGGAAGCTATGATACTTCAGAATATGTTCTCACTAAATCAAACATAAAAAAAGTGAAACAGTACGTAACACCCCCCCCCCCCCCCCAAAAAAAAAAAAAAAAAAAACAAATTAGAATTAAGGCGTTCCAAGTGTCCACAAACGTAGTGTAAAGAAGCTTATATCAACCTCAGCCATGCATCATTTTACTTTTGAATTCAATGAGAACTGCAATAAGAAAGAACTTTTGATTTGTAGGTCAACAAGGAGGAAATTAGCATCGAAGAGAAAAGTGAATAAATGCCAGATGCAGGACAACAGCATCATGTTGTTCAGAACCAAAGGGAACCTAATAGGCAGCTAAATCACAAACGGTTCACCACAATGAAGCCAATAGATTTGGTTTAGAAAAATATTCACCCATAAGAGGTACAACTTAGCCCATAAACTGAAACTGATTAACTGATCACCGTAAAATACACATTCCTATTTTACAAAATATGAGGCAAGCTTCAGAAGCCTGCATTTTGTCTTGCAGTAGAATTGTCAAGTATCTAAAATAGCATTAAGCACATCAGATCAACAATTGAAGCTTCCATGAATCAACAAGGCTTACAAATGTCAAAACCTATTTTATGTTTCATATCTTTGAACCAAAACAATTTACTAATCAGCCAATGAAAACATGATTCCAATCCCTTCAACACCTGTCGATTTCTAATGGAATCAATCATTCGCAATTTTTGGCCTTTTATTATAATGGACTTGTGATTACTAATTAAGTTGTGATTTCATCAGTAGTAAACTAGTAATGTAATTGAAGTAAGCTACTTATTGAATTAAGGGTTGATTAAAAGCAGCAGCATGGTTATGTCAGTTACAACACCCCACCAAAAAAAAAAAATCAGGAGCATTTTGTAGAGAGAATGGGGGTAAATGTTATTGGGACGTTGCGGTGTCTTTTAACATGATTTCAGCACCGCAATAGAACATGACAGTCACTATATTTACAGTATAGTCCAATAATCAGATTACATAATAAATCGTTAGCCAAATCAACTTCATAAGTAATCAATCAAAATACATATTAAACAGCATTATTCTATGGTAATTGTGGTAGAATCTTCTTTCAATAATGTGTGCGTACTTCAATTGCAAAATTGAGATTCAGCTACTTATGTCAGTATTAACAACTCACAGCAAAATTAAGTTATAATTATCAATTGATTGAAAATAAGACATTGAATGCCTACCTCAAAACAATGACCTCTTACTAGGGTAGAGTTTAAAGCACTATAACAAGACTTAGAATTTAAATAAATAAATAAATAAATAAAATCAGGAGCTCCAAAAACATGAAATATATGGTTTAATGGACATTGACAGTTTACAATAGCACTTATCCCAATTGCAGATGCAATATGTAATACTTAACAAAAACACTCAAACACTCAAAAAAAGAGTAGCACAAGAAATTGATATTTCAAGCTCCCAGATTGACCACAGTTCCCCACTGTGCCCAACAGAGAAGAAAGGCATTTAAAAGTAATTTAGAAATATTAAATTTCTTGGAGTTTATCATCCTTTTTCAGTCAGTATAAAATCCTTAGATATCTCCTTCAACATTGGCAAAATGAAACATTTTAGATTGAACAAGTTTCAGCAAGACAAGAGCAACAGTGGAATAATGTAAATGGAACTTTAGGGATAGTATTGGATTTTTTTTAGGGAAGAATGACTAAATAAAACTCAGTATAAAACCTATATAAATTCACTTTTAATAATAATAATAAGCCAAGTACCATAAGTTGGCAATGATACCAAATGGGCCCTAAATTTTCTTGCAATAGTCCATTATTTAAACTTTCAAGTATCTTTATAATTTGACTTTATGCATTGTTCAACGAAAACATGCTGTTTTCCAGGGAAGTTTTCAACAAGTATCTCCCAAAAGTAACGAGTTCCCATGATATAGAATGGTTGACATCAAAATACTGCACACTGTGGATCCAATGAGTAGTCTGTGTAGGCTACGATGGTGATAGAAAATAAATTTGCCTGTCCTTTTTTGTCTTTATCTACCATGTAAAGAAATAAAAAAAAGGCATGCAATCAGTTCACATTCCCCAGCATTTAGAATGGTAAAAGCCGACATTCATGAAGGTAGTGAAGTATCATGATTCGCCATATCAAACCAACCAGGAACAGATATGAAGTGGGCTACCTTTGGCCACCACCCTCTTCATCGTCACCAGGTTCCTCATCAAGCACTTCAAATCTGAGATTGGAAATACGGAGAATTAGAATATGGTGAAACAGGTGTAGAGAATTGTTTAAAACTGCAGAAAATAACAAGCACCAAGTGTTGACAATGACTAAGTGGAAGCAATTACAGAAAATTTTAATGGACCATAAAGACTACAAGACATGACAATTAGGCAATTAGCTACTAAAACCAAGTGTCATGTGAAGACCCTACAACATATTTTAAAACCCTAATCATTTTCCTTGAAAAAAGTAAAAAACTGTTTTTTAGCATATCAACCACAAGGCTACAACAATGTTTAAGTTACCTATGCTATAATTCTTTTAACTTTATTCAGGAAATTTGTGTACTGCACTACTGCGTCTCTCTCTCTCCCAACCACTTAAACAACACTGTGATATAGTACTCACATGATGCATGATCATTACCGTGATTACATATTTACAACCAAAACCTCTATTCAAAACCTTGCCTCCGCCCAAAGGAGAATATTGGGGATAAAGGCCTTTGGCTTTCACTTCGTCCCCTAATTCATTCCCATTCCTATGTACCAACGATAGTTTCTGAGTTAGTTAGCATCTCACTCTTAGTTCTCTCTTCTCATTGCCATGTACCTATAGAATCATGAGAAATGTTCTCCTTTACAATATGAATCATCCATAGCTCATTCAATCACACTGGGAAATCCTGTGTTACTTCTCATCGAGAAAACACCATAAAAGTTTCCTACTAGTACACTTGTGCAAGGGTGCAATGAACAACAAGATATCATGCCCAAACATAGTGCTCAAGAGGGCTTATTTAGAAAACAGAGACATCATGCCCAAATGCCAAGGTGCTCACCCAAAAGATATTGAGTTATGGTAATCTTTGCTCCTAAATTAGTGGTGCATTATCTATAGAGAAACAAAAATAGCTTTTGCAGCTTATCCAAAACTGGTACAATATGGCAAAATATAAACTTTGAATTCAGCAAAGGCAAATAACAAATCATTCAAAAACAAGGTCTTATAAGTAAGATTTAACTCACTCTCTTGTTTCCCTGTCATAATGCATCACTTTCACCACAATATACTCGTCCTTCTCTGTTTCATCTGTTGTAACCCTAGCTGCTACCTGAAGACACATCAGCCCAGTACTAAGATCTTAGAAGAAAATCATTTAAAACTAAAAATTCAATGTACAGTAGAAAGTGAAACGGATATATACCTGTTCACCTTTCAAACTAGCAAAGTTATCAAGTTGGTTTCTCATGGAAGGAGAGACCCTTGGGATATCAGAATCATTTTTCTTCTGTTTCTTCTTCTGCTCATTACCTTCTGCAACTCAAATTAAAAATAAGGAAACAATTTTCTATTTTTTTGGTTTTAACAAAATGAATACTTAATGTTAAACAAAAAGTAAATACATTTCTTTCATGACAAAATATGAGTTATAGCACATGATGCTTTTAGAATTGACAAGTCTCTTATAAATTAGTATTCAAGTATGCCAACTTTTTGTTTGGGTAAGTTTATCATCTGACTAACAAAAGACCAACACCCACTCTGGATAAAAATAAGAAAATACATACACCCACACCGCACTCTAAGTCCCAATTGCCATTTCCACATATTTTTAGGAAAGCAAAACGCTTGAGGTTTGGTTGAATAAAGGTGTATAATAAGAAATTTAAAACAGAAAAAAAAAAAAGGTTGGGCATGATTCAAATTTAATCATCCTTTTAAAAGAAGTATCACAATTCACAAGGGAGTTTGAGAGGAAGAATAAAATATGAAACCAAAATAATTAAAAAAATAAATAAAATTAATGAAATGAGACTATATTAAGGGACAAAATTATTGGGTGAACTGGGACATTTATTTGGGGACTGCAAAGGAATATTAATAAAAATTTAAGTCAAAAGATATCATGTCCTAGTCCTAACCTATGTTGTTTCATTTTTCAAAATTTACATTAAATTGTTGCTTTAGACAAACATTAGGGCTTTAAAAGAGTGATGTTTAGCGAAAAGGCCAGGCTGTTTTAGATGAATAATATACACACCTACTCTTCTTCGTTGCTGCCCAGGCGGCCCAGGAGGGAGCAAAGCATCCAGCTGTGTTAGTAAAACATTTGATACTCTGTAGGGTTTAGCCATATAATCAGCTCTTCTAAAAATATCAAAAAATAAACTTCCATACTAAGTTTAAGCAAAATGCTTGTTAACATATAGGTAATGATACGTACCTCACTTCAGTTTCAGCTAGTTCCTTAGCTTGGGTGTACAAGTGCTTAAGCTTCGATAAAGATGTGTCCCCAGGCTTCTCAACTACTTCAGGATCTGCACCAAAGTAATCATCATTTATTCTTAAAATAAAATGTCCCGAGTTCCAACTTTTCACTAACAAAACCAAGCACCTTTAATAGTATTTTAACTTTTAATTACAGCACATCAACAAGTAGCTCAGTTAAAAATAATAATAATAAGATTTCAAATTACCCTCTTACATTGTTACCTTTTTTTAAGCGTTTTCCATTTGATAATAGAAGCAATTTGCTGTTTATGATTATTAAAACCACTTTCTTTGGGATCTGTTTTATTTGTGTAGTCAGCAATTTTATATGCAACTCCAACTCCACTATTTTTCCTACCTATTACAAATTACATCATTTACATGAGTGTAGAATCTGTTGGTGATTTACAAGTGGAGGGTCTATTGCATTAAGCTACTTGAACAACAGTTAGCTTTTCCAATTGTTTTCATTCTTATACTATCTAAAGAGGATGGACAATATACTTGCTCACAACCGCAAACCCATTCCAGTTTGTTAAAACAATTCCAAGAAACTGCAAATACATCTTACTCAATAGCAACAAAATATGCAAAGATTGGATTAAAAGTGAAACTGATACATGACTAAAGCTTTCATCCGATCAATCATGTATAACTCTACACATCGAGGTCAGATAAGGTCACATGAGCTTATATAGTAAAAGAAAGGATAAAAGACTGAATTACAAAAGAGTGAAATGAAGTTAACAACAGTGAGCTTATAAATGAACCTGACCATGTGTTTGCACTTTATCTCTTGTATCATACTCCCAAAAAGTTCCAAGGGTCTATTTATATGACAAACAACGTCATTGTGCAGCTAAAGGTTACTCTACTTGCTGCAACCAGGAAGACCTCTATAGAAAGTGTACAAAATAACTCACTATAAAACTCTCCATAAATAAACCTTAATATGTCACCTTATACCATTCCCTGAGACCAAAAATTCTCAAATCATATTCACAAGACATTATTCAAGAAACCCTCTTACGGATAACAGTATAACACCCCATGAAATCCTAAGAGAATTTTCATATGTAATGAATTACTTCTCATGATTTCACATATTTAGCCAAAGCAATATCACAACGTGTTCAGGGCATTTGGTGTCTCAGCCTCCTCGACCAAAAAGACCCGAAAATATCAATTTTGAAGAATAAAAAGTTATGCTTCACCATTGACAAGTATCCATCAAACCACAAAGGGATTTCTATCACAAAGTTCTATGATATCCTGAAACAGGGAATTATAAGACTTTTCATTATATCTCAAGTAACTCTGACACTTCAATCAAAAGCCAAAATCATAGAATAAATTACAACAAAAATACCCAAGTTTACTACTAAGCATGTACCCATGCTAGACACAAACAATTATTGGAAAATAACACCTCCATCGACGGTACCACATAATTCTTAAGCCCAAACCAAACACATAGGAGTTGATCACATTATTAGTTTTCCAGCTTTACAACAATATTAACCGGCCACTCTACAATACCATATTCGAGTAATCGACCATGCTTTTCAATTTCCAATCAGAAATTAAGCGGCACAAAACAATTACTAATAATTACCCTCTACATTTCAATAAACTAAATCAAAATGAAATTGATCAATACAATATTGGAAAAAAAAACATAAAACAAATCAAAATAAAATAAACAGCAAAAATTGCAGAAATTAATCATATACTGAAATTAAAAGGAGAGAATAATAACACACTGGTTTGAAGCTTCTTATGAAGCTTATTAATATCAGACAAAACTTCTTCCTGCTCTTTCCGAAGGCGGTCGAGCTCCTTCGAGTTGTCCAGAATGCTGGCAATTTCCGATGTTGACATTGTTGGTGAAATCTTCTTGCAATTGTACTATACTTCCTCTCTTTTGTATTTTTTCATTTGATTGAATTTATAAACTGCACAATCTACAAATTACAAAGAAAGAAATCATCAATAAATTTGACAAAAAAGGGAAAAAAAATTGTAAATTATTGGGAAAAAATCAAGAATAATTAGGGCTGATTACGAATTGATTTGTTACCAAACAAAAATATATTCTTCGATAATTACATGATTCTTTCCAAACATTAAAGTATAACAAAATCACATAATTATCAACCAAATTTGACATAATAATCAACGTAGGATCGAAAAATCACGTTAAATTCTTCATAATTACGAATATGAATGGCAAAAACACGGTAATTAATATTTCATAATTACAGTTATAATTAATTAATTATAACCAATAATAAAATAATCTACCTTGAAAGAACCCTAAATTAAATCACAATATTTATAATGTCAAAAAAAAAAAATCACAATATTTATAATTTATAATGACAATTAAATTGAATGATTAAAAAAATTTAATAGTACCTTGAATAACCGCAACACTGTAGGAGAGAGAGGGGAGTGTGCACAGTCAGTGCAGCGAAAGATCTAAAAGTAGTTATAAATATACGGAGTATGAAATATATATAGACTGGATAAAATTAAATTTTTGTTGAAGTTTTGTTCTTATCTAAGTAGTATGATCGTTTTTATGCACATTTATTTTAGGTTAGTCATCCTTTTGATTTTAACATTTTAATCACAATATTTTATAAAAATACAAAAATAAAGGTTTATAAAAATACAAAAATAAAGGTTTACGGATAAAATTACGATAAATGTTTTTTAAATTTGAATTATATGTTATATCATACGAAGTATTTAAACTTATAATTTTTGCAATACTATTTTTTGCAATACTGGATAAAATGTTTTTAGATTTGAACATGAAGATTAGATATGGAGTATGTTGTTTTTTTTTTTTTTTTTTTTGTTGTTGCTTTTGGGTTCATGTTCTTTTGTTATAACTTTCATGTTCTTTAAGGGTTTATTTTCATTTGTTAAAGTTTCTATGTTTCATGTAAAAAAAAAAAAAAAAACTTATTTTATGTTCATCGAGTGCATAGTGAACATTGTGCATCCAGGTGTACAAAATAATAATTGGCTGATTACTCATATATACATACATACATACATATGTGTGTGTGTGTGACTCAAGAGAGTTAAGACTTTATCTTTTTCTTCCTACGAAGTAACAAATTTTATTTTACAATAAGTCTTATATAAGGTGGACACGTACCTTTAAGTGTTTAACCCCTTTAATAGTAACTTTTAATTTGCAACGATTTTAATCAATATCAATCATCAATATATATTACTAAAACAGACACCAGGAATGACACATGTTAATTTATATCTTCCATCTTTTACTGCCAAAAATGTTTTAGAGAATAATATTTATGTAATTTGATATTTTGTTTGTTTTTCTTTTCCAAGCCCTACGAATCACCATTGAATTAAGGATTGGAGTATCAAACATTATTATTATTGTAGTAAGTTATGCATTGATTTTAAAATTATTTCAATAATATATAACTTTAATTTACGCAAAATTTTATGGTTAAATTCGTGCATCGCACAAGCACTAACCTAGTATATATACTACATACTAAAAGATACACCAGCAATGACACGTGTCGTCTCCTGGTGTGTCCCGAACGAAATCTTATACAAAAATAATTCTCTAATTTTATACAATATAATTACTTAAAATAAAAATGATTTGGCATATTTTTAACACAAATACTAGATGAAACCCGTACGATGCACAGTTTGTATGTATTTTTTATACATTTTTTTTGTGTTTATATAATAAAATTTGTTAATTAATTTTTGTTAGGAAAATTTTGTTATTTTATTCGTTATACGTAGTATATCATTTAATATTTTTATTTTAAAATAAATTGTGAATTTATTCTCATTCGTTATGTATTTAGATAAAGTTCTTAATCTCAAAAGATAAAATTTTTATATTTAATTAATTTAAACTTTAAAAGCTCATTCGCTAATTTTGCTTATGTGGCATTTGAATTATTAAATTATAAAAGAATTGACAAATCTCCTATCTAATTGACTATAACTAAAACATATAATCCTACATGGTGCGTTAAGAAAATTTAATCCTACGTGGCTCTCTAAAAACTCGGGAAAAAACACCCCTTTATATATATACTAGTTTTGTGCCCCCGTGCGATGTTCAGGTTGTTTATTGAAATTTAGGATAAACTTTTTGGCTTGAATATTAAATATGGTCATATAATCTGATCCTTTTTGATAATGCAGAATATTTAGACATGCGATATCTACTTAAATTATTTTTACTAAACTAAAATTATTTGTACTGATTAAAACTTTTTTTTTTTTTTTTTTTACTAATTCTCTATTATTTTTTAAGATAAAAAATAATATATTATAATGGATCTTATTTTAAAGAACTTTTTAAAATGGATTTTATAATGAAAATAGAACCGAGTTATTAGATTTTTATTAAAAGTTATGATTAATTTTGTATGAAATATTACTAGTTTATCGATAATAAAACTCTATGCAAAATTTTTATCTTTAAAAATCTATCCAAAAAGTATATTGATAATAAATATTTATTAAAAAGTATGTCGTATTAAAAGTATATCGATAATAAAACTCTATACAACAATCTTATCTTAAAAAATCTATCCAAAAATCGCTTACTTAGCATAATATGTGTCACAATAATACCTATTTATCGTCTACGTGGCACGACACTTGGCGAAAAACCGAGATGCCAAGTGTCGCTGTCTCGTGGCCTAAATGCAAGATCGGCTTTATTTATTAGTGATATGATACTAGTTTTGTGCCCGGGCGATGCCTGAATTGTTGATAAAATTTTAGGATAAACTCTTTGGCTTGAATGTTAAATACGATCATATAATCCCTTTTGATAAGCAATATATTTAGACATACGATATCATATTAACTTGAAATTATTTTTATTGAACATAAATTATTTTTATATAACTTAAATTTCTTTATTTTTGGCATTGAATAAAAATATTTTTACTGATTAATGTAAATAGATATCTATGATATTATTAATTTGAAATTATATTTTTTGAACTTAAATTATTTTTATAGAATTTTTTTTTTTTGACATTGACTAAAATTATTTTACTGATTAAAGCTTATTTTTAGCCTATTCTCTATTATTTTATAAATAAATTAAATTGTAACACCCCCAAATCTCCCTCTAAGGAAATATCAGTATAATACATAATACCGTAGAGATAGACTTAGGCGTATTACCGCCGCGTGATTACGCAAGGCTACTCAAAACTACTAACTTAACCAAAACTTTGCAGCGGAAACTCAAACTCTTTCTTTATTAATAAATAATATAAATAGAAATTATTGTCATGAGTACTCAAAAATAGAAACAAAGACCAACATTCCTAAATCTAGGTGAAGCATATCTCAGGACTCCCAAAGGCTCATTTATTGACTCCACCTGAAAATAGTCAACACTGCTTACCATTAAGGTAAACAGGCCGAACTAAAACAAATGGGAAATACAAATTAGCAAAATATGCTAAGTACGATAAGTGCAAGATCAGTAAACTCAATTTATTCGCAAACATGCTTTTAAGACCAATTCCAATAATTAATCCAATAATTCCAAACTCATTATTCAAAACCAATTTCAATAATTCGATAAAACGATTAATAAAACCAATTACTCTTTTAAATCCAATTCCTCACCCAAGTGTGTACACTTGTCTTTATATTGAAAGACTATCCTTGAGGAAAGACTCGGTCATACAAAGTCCAAAGCCTTATCAATCAAATCCGCATAGTGGGATTACTATCATCATGCTTGTAAAGCTTAAATAATAATAATAATTCAATAAAACCTCTTTAATTCAATAATTCCAATCTTTATAACAACTCAAAACTCCTTTTTATTTAATTCGACATGCTTTCGAAATCACCCTTTTAAAAACATGATAAATAATGTAATCATTCAAAACTTGATAAAAATCATTCTTCAAACTTATTTATTAAAACCAATTATTTAAACATACTATATTTCATAAGTCATAATTTAATTCAATTTAATTCAATCATCATAAAAATCATATAAAACATGCTTATTCAATCTAATCAATTTCGAAGGTATCTAGCCACCTAAACGTACCTTGATCCTTGCTTAGCAACACACAAAAAGAATTTCAAGAACTCATTGTCAAACACACCCTACAAATAAATGTAACCTTAATCGTTATAAGGCTAACAAATAATCACAACAATTAAAATAAAAACCCCAAACTATATGTACATGAAACTTAGAAAATTATTTTTCATAAACTTGAATAATAAACTGATGTTATTTAATTAAAAATACTCATTATAATTTTTTTATAAAACCCCCAAAATAATAATAATAATATAATTAATTAATTAAGAGAAGAGAAGAAGAAGAGGTAGAAAACCAAGGAAGAGGAGAAGAAGAGGTTGTGGCAAGGGGCAGCAGCCGTCCGGCAGGTGGCTGGCAGTGGTGGCTGGCATTGGCAGCTGGCCGAGGAAGGTGGCAGCCGGCAGTGGAGGTGGTGTTTGGTGGTGGTGGCCGCGCAAGAACAAGAGAAATAGAGGAGAGAATTAGAGAGAGATTAAGAGAGAAATTAGAGAATTTTGGTGTGAATGTTTAGCTATGATTCAAGGGGTATTTATAGGCTAGCTCATGCAAGAATTATGGTAGGAAAATATGGAAGAATTATGGTAGTTTTGGTTTAAGGAATTCCTTGGAAAGGTGAGCTAAAGAATTAAGGAAAGTTTAGTTTTATGGTGATTAAGGAATAATTAATTATGGAAAGTATATTGTCATGAAAAATAATATGGTAAATGACTTTGCTTGGGGAATAATCAAGAATGATTTAAGGTAGGAAAATAAGATGATCAAATATTTAGGAGATGGAAAATAAGAATTAAGGAAAAATGATAGAATTAAGGAAGATAATTAAAAATACAAACTACTAAAATAAATTGCTCAAAATCAATCCAAGGTGGCCGAAAATTTTGAGCTTTCCTAAGCTCAAAATTTTCGGACCTCTTGTCTAGATTTTAGGAAGTTATTTTGCCAAATTTTAAGGATTAAAAATGATTGTGTAAATAATATATATTGTATAAAATAATTAATTAAGAAAATACCAATTATTCACTAAATAAATTAACTAAGAAAATCAGATTTTCCACACTAGGAAAATCCGAATTTCATAGCTTATTAATTAGGAATTTTTGGGACTTTTTAATAAATAATAAAATATAATTTTTGGACTTATATATATATATATATATATATATATATATATATATATATATATATATATATATATATATATATATATATATATATATATATATATATATATATATATATATATATATATATGTGTGTGTGTGTGTGTGTGTGTGTGTGTGTGTGTGTGTATAATCTAGTTTTTAAATAAAATAAGTGGATAATAAATCTTACCCAAAATCCAAAAATAATAATAATTAAGTTTTAAAATGCTTTTTGCGCAAAAATTCAAATATCATTTTGGCTCCAAAATTTCAAATAGTAAAATAATTTACTAAAATACCCTATTTAGAAAATATTAATTAATTAATT